CTGACCCACACTGACCCCCCTCAGCGCACCCGGAACTGCGGCATGCCCTGGGTGACCACTGAGTGACCACTGAGTGACCACTGACCCACACTGACCACTGAGTGACCACAATAGCCCAAAGCCACCCAAACGCCCCAAAATGCCCAAAACGCGCAAAAACGCTAAAAACGCCCCAAAACGCCCCAAACACCCCAAACGCCCGAAACGCTAAAAACGCCCAAAACGGCCCAAAACGCCCCAAACACCCAAACGCCCAAAACGCCCGAAAACGCTAAAACTGCTAAAAATGCCCAAAACGCCCAAAACGCCAAAAACGCCCAAAACGCCCGAAACGCAAAAAACGCAAAAAACGCCCAAAACGCTAAAAACGCAAAAAACGCTAAAAACGCCCAAAACGCCCAAAAACGCCCAAAACGCAAAAAACGCTAAAAACGCAAAAAACGCTAAAAACGCAAACGCAAAAAACGCAAAAAACGCTAAAAACGCAAAAAACGCAAAAAACGCTAAAAACGCAAAAAACGCAAAAAACGCTAAAAACGCCCAAAACGCAAAAAACGCCCAAAACGCAAATAACGCAAAAAACGCCCAAAACGCAAATAACGCAAAAAACGCAAAAAACGCTAAAAACGCTAAAAACGCAAAAAACGCAAAAAACGGAAAAAACGCAAATAACGCTAAAAACGCCCAAAACGCAAAAAACGCCCAAAACGCCCAAAACGTAAATAACGCTAAAAACGCAAAAAACGCAAAAAATGCAAAAAACGCTAAAAACGCAAAAAACGCAAAAAATGCAAAAAACGCTAAAAACGCAAAAAACGCAAAAAACGCTAAAAACGCAAAAAACGGCCAAAAACGGTAAAAACGCCCAAAACGCCCTAAAATGCCCAAAAACTCCCAAAACACCCCAAAAGGGCCCAAAACACCCCAAAACAGCCTAAAACACCCCAAAACACCCCAAAACACCCCAAAATATCCCAAAATACCCCAAAACACCCTAAAATGACCGCTGACCTGCAGATGGGCACCACCATGGGGTTCTCGCTCACCCCCCGGAACAGCCCCCGCTCCTTGAGCAGCTGCAGCAGCGCCGCGCGCGCCCGGAACCGCGGCATGCCCTGGGTGACCAGAGTGACCACTGAGTGACCAGAGTGACCACTGACCTGTGCTGACCCACACCGACCCACACTGACCCACACTGACCCCCCTCAGCGCCCCCGGAACCGCGGCAGGCCCTGGGTGACCACTGAGTGACCACTGGGTGACCACTGACCACTGAGTGACCAGTGAGTGACCACTGAGTGACCACTGACCCACACTGACCACTGAGTGACCACAATAGCCCAAAGCCACCCAAACGCCCCAAAATGCCCAAAACGCGCAAAAACGCTAAAAACGCCCCAAAACGCCCCAAACACCCCAAACGCCCGAAACGCTAAAAACGCCCAAAACGGCCCAAAACGCCCAAAACACCCAAACGCCCAAAACGCCCGAAAACGCTAAAACTGCTAAAAATGCCCAAAACGCCCAAAACGCCAAAAACGCCCAAAACGCCCGAAACGCAAAAAACGCAAAAAACGCCCAAAACGCTAAAAACGCAAAAAACGCTAAAAACGCCCAAAACGCCCAAAAACGCCCAAAACGCAAAAAACGCTAAAAACGCAAAAAACGCCGCCCAAAACGCAAAAAACGCCCAAAACGCAAATAACGCAAAAAACGCCCAAAACGCAAATAACGCAAAAAACGCAAAAAACGCTAAAAACGCTAAAAACGCAAAAAACGCAAAAAACGGAAAAAACGCAAATAACGCTAAAAACGCCCAAAACGCAAAAAACGCCCAAAACGCCCAAAACGTAAATAACGCTAAAAACGCAAAAAACGCAAAAAATGCAAAAAACGCTAAAAACGCAAAAAACGCTAAAAACGCAAAAAACGGCCAAAAACGGTAAAAACGCCCAAAACGCCCTAAAATGCCCAAAAACTCCCAAAACACCCCAAAAGGGAAACACCATAAAACATCTCCAAAACACCCCAAAATCACCCCGAAAACACCCCAAATTACCCCAAAATCACCCCAAAACACCCCAAACCACCCAAAAATTACCCCAAAACACCCTAAATTACCCCAAAACACCCCAAACCACCCCAAATTACCCCAAAATACCCCAAATCACCCCAAAATGCCCCCCAAGGCCCCAGGGCCCCGCACTGACCAGGAAGGGCGCGGGGACGTCGACCATGGCGCCGTCCTCGCCGATGACCGAGGCCACGCCCAGCCCGTGCCGCTGCCCCACCTCGAAGTCGGTGGCGTCGTGGGCGGGGGTGATTTTAACGGCCCCTGGGGGCGGGGCCTCGCGTTGGGACACGCCCACCGCGGCCACGCCCACCACGGATGCGTCCAGGTGGAGGAACATCCATGGTGGCCACGCCCACCCCAGCCACGCCCACCAAGGACGAGTCCAGGTGGAGGAACATCCATGGTGGCCACGCCCACCCAGGACACGCCCAGGTGGAGGAACATCCAT